TCTTTTAAAGATCGTAATATTACTAATCATTCAATGTGATTAATAGGTATTCACAATCTTGTAGAATCTGATATTACACTTGATGAATAAATGATTTTTACTTGACATAAAATAATAACAGATGTATCAGCCTATCAACATTAATCTATTATATGTAAAAGAGATCTTTTGATTCCTATAGAAAAAGCAGGTAAGTTTCTACATATATTTAATATTTATTGTTAAAAAATTATTTATATTTATAAATTTTTAGCTCACCTAATTATACTAGTAAGTTAGATATGTTAAATTTTTTTATTTAATGTTACCATTTTATCATAACTAATAATCTTTATAGGATTTTCTTAATGAACAACAATATGACGAAACTAGTATAATCGAAAAAAAGAAATCTGAAGAAGAAGAATTGGAATTTAAAAAATCTAAAATTTCCAAGATTTCAGTGAAAAATTGTAGTAATACTAATATCAACATTAATTTAATGTTTTTATATAGGAACCATATCTTTAGATAATGGAATAAAAATGTTAGTTAGTAATTAAATTGTAAAATTAAATTAAAATGATTATTCAATAAAATAAACTAGCAAGAATTAGCATAAATACAAGTAAGAGTACAATTAATACAAAAAATTTTTAATAAATTAGAGTTTCCGGTTATCAATATAAGATTACGAAATAATAGCATAAAAATTCCGGTCACAATATAATTAATTAAATATATGTAAAAATAATGATAAAGGTAGACATAAGTGACACTAAGTGCAACAGGAGATAAAATTCCTTATTCCCTCAAATCACGTACTTAAAGACCTTCCAAAAATTCCGGAAGTCTAACCTATAAAAAAAGAAAAATAGAACGTTAATGCTTAAATTTTAGAAATATTAACAACAAAAAAAAGAAACCTACAAAGAAAATACGAAACTTACACTAAAATAAAATAAAAAAATATCCATTTCTAAAAAAATAAAAAATAAATAAAAATAAAAATAAGTATTATAATCGTTTTCAGTACCTACAAAAAGTTAAAAGGGGTAAGTTATATTTAATGATTTACTTAATTAATTTAATATTTATAAATATTTACTTCCCCCTTCATAGGATTGATTCATCTTCGATCCGATCGACCCAAGGATTCGTACCTACAAAAAGAAAAGAGGTAAGTAATAAATAATAATTAAATTGATTAATTAAAAAAAAATTACTGACCTTTCCCTTCACAGGACATGCCACCAATCCGAATCGATCCAAATGATTCAGGAAATGATTAAATTAATTTAATTAATTTAAAAGGAAAATACTGACCTTCCTTTCCCCTTCACAGGACTTGCCTCCGATTCGATCAATCCAAGAAATCCGGTACCTGCAAATAGGAAAGAGGACAATAATAAGTAATAATTAATTAATTTTTTAAATTTTTTAAAAAAAATACTGACCTTTCTTTTTACTTCGTAGTACTCGCCTCTGATCCGATAGATTCAAGGCTTCCGATACAACAAAAAGGAAAATGGCAAGTGACTTTTCAATTTTTAAAAATAGGTCCTGATAAGCATAACGGAACCGCACAATTTGGAAACTCGAATGAAAATAGTCAGTGATTAAAGGATCTTGGATTATTGGTAGGAAATCAAGCCGTTCCTTCAAACACCAATGATGAATTTACGTTTCTCGTTCATGTACAGGATTTTTATTGGGAACAATTCATCCAAGCTTGCATTGATGTCTATTGGAGGAAAGAAAAAAAGAGTGAAGTTGGATAAGTGGAAAACTGATTCAATTTAGGATCAGGTCGTTGAATAAAAGCTGTTCCGGGAATAATGTCGTCATTTGAAGAAACTGATTGGTATTTCGTAACAAGATTCAAGGAATTATTTGGATCATCATTAAGAACAAGTTCGTCCAAATTATAACTTTGATCAAAATGATATAAAAAGCATGTGCAAAGCCAATTATGATTATAAATAATATCAATAAGAAGGAAATTATTCTCTTGGCCACACCAATAATAATAGTAAAATATGAACCAAAATAATCGAGCGCTCGCAAGAATGTTATATATTTAAAGCATAAGAACAATATGAAGCAAGTTGTATAGTTTTTTTCGATTCATGGGTTCAAGGTCATTGGTTATTACAACTTTTCTTACCTTTCCATTATAGTCATTTGTCCGGCGCAATTCTAAGTAAATTTAAAAAAATATGCAGTTGGCAAATGCGCAATATCTCTATATCTTAAAACTTCTTCCTGATGTTAATTAAAATTGTCATGAAACGCAGTATGTATCAGACATTCCATGTTTATCGCAGTAAATACAGATAAAATTCATCTTTTTGATTTTGCACGCGTCTTAGTTATAAACTGAAGAGGTTTGGAGTTTCGGATTAAAAATGTATTTCAAAAAAAGAAAAGTTAGTTATAAAAAATCGCCGATCATTACCGCAGCAATTAATAATATCACGTGAGACGTGATTAAGAATAGTTTATACAGTATAAATATTATGCAGGCTGACAGTTCTGACTGTATTAATAATTAGCGGTTTTTAAAATTATACTTCTTTTTCTAGTAATAATTATAATACATACATACCACAACCGGACAATTTATTGATAATTAAAAAACTAAAATGAATCCCACAATTTCACATATTTTCATATTTTATATAAAATAGCATAGAATCCATTTATCTAGCACTCATTCTCAATTTACTCTTCTTTATCCATCCTCAATGAAGGACCTAGTCAGTAATTGTTGGATAAATGGTAACTAGGTACCAAAACCACCCCTTGTATTTTCCCGTTTTTAGGTGTCGTAAACCTACTTATATTTCCTTTCTTTTTTCTTTTTTATCAGAATATCTTCTGGACCCAACATCGCCCACCCCAACTTACCCACCAAATATTAATAACAGCCACCCGCCCGCTCCGCCTGATAAAGTTAATTTTGGATTTTAAATGGTCGTTCGAAAAGATTCATTCAACAAACGATGTAGGAAAACTTAAAGGGATCATTTACGAAGTAGACAAGTTCGGGAAAAGAGAAAAGGTAAGTTGAGTTAGCTTAATGGTGAACATACTTCTTAGTAGCCATGAAGTTTTATTTACAAACTGGATCTTTTGCTTGTTCAACTGCCGTCATGTTTGAATCTTTATGGAGCCATTAATCTAACAACGATTTGCTCATGCTTCTCATGACAAATTATTTATTTTTGAATTATATATAAACGCAACTCCATCATTACGCTCTGACTGGGGAACGTCCCTGTATATTAAGGTGGTAGATTAAATAACAATGAAGAAAACAAAGATTTTGAAGCAAGAAATTATGAAGGACGGTTTGATGTTTATGAAGATACAGGAGAACATATTTATAATAAAATGTATCGTTATAGAAAATGGTGGAAAGAGAAAGAAGTTGTCAAAAGTTTTCCGATAGTAGAGGTTGGAAGTGGTCAATTTTTAACCGGTTAAGACGTTTATATTGTTAACCGGTTAAAGATTTTTTTTAACAGGTTAAAATAACTAATGTTAACTCTGGCCGAAATTTTAATTCTCGGGCAGAATTAAAATTTTTTTGCAATTTCAAAATTTGCTAGTTTTGCCCAAATTTATAGTGCCGGCCTGAGTTAAATTTAACCGGATAGTTAACCGGTTAAGGATTTTTGGGCCGTTTCCAACCTCTCCTCTATCCGATAGATTATAATCGTAGATTAATGAAGTGTATTTTTTGTAGTTATAAAGGTGATAAACTTTATAAAAAATGTTATTCTTGTTATTTGCATTTATAAACTTAAATTCATTTTGGATAAATAAATAAATATGAAGAAAAATCCATTAAAGTAAGTATCATATAAATATACTGAGTAAAAAATGTAAATTCGGAGATAACGTTCTTTTTAAATAATTCTAAAACTAAGAATACATACATAATAAAAAAAAATATATTCACACCTAAAAAAAAAAAGTGCGATATTCGACTTAAGGTCTCGAGAGTTTATTGCGAACTAAGACATCCTTTTGTTATAAACTCTTTGAAGTGGCTTTTTCAAAGATTTTAAAGATTTTGATATACGTAAAGCAAGAGAACCCTTGAAATCGAGACAAAGTTAACAAATTCACACTCTTCGTACCACCACACATCAAAAAATTGTCGGTGCACGATAACTCTTTAAAGTGTGCAAATTATAATATCAGTGAAAAAGAAAATTATAAGAAAAATAAAAATAATGAAGAAATTAAGGAAAACTATTATCTGAAAATAATATTTTAATTATTGTTGTCATAGATTTTAATTCATCATTTCCCATTAAATAGTTACAATTGTCAATATTTTGAATTTTATTTATTTGGGAGGGTTGATATTACGTCTCGTATTTTATGTCATTTCAAAATATTTTCAATTTAAATAAAATTTTAAAAAAAAATGATGACTTTATATAGATTATGCTATAAATACTTTCTATATATATTTTATCAAAATTACTTAATTGTAAGTTTGTCTTTGCATATAGAACAAAATCAATTTAGCTACAAAATTTTGTTTTGTCATGTATAATCGTCTTCTAATTACTAGAATGTATGTTCTTAAGTAAAAGTCATGAACTCCTTCTAGATTCCTAAATTACGATCGATGGTAATAGTTTATTCAAATCTTTATAGTTGTGGTTGAATAAGTAATATGTTTTCATTAACTTTATTGCGTGACTTGAAGAAATAGTATATAAAGGTTTAAAGAACAATGTATAAGACAAAACAAGATGGACAAGTTTCACCTTTGCCGAATGTGCGTCATATTATTTATTTAATTCTAAATAAATTTACCTTTTAATACATTAATTCAAAATTTCATAAAACTAAAATGACATTAAAGTCTGAATTTTCCTTTTTACTGATTTTAAAATTTTAATAGTTGGATTATTCCATTGTAAATTAAACTATATCTCTAATTTATATATAATATGAAAATAATTAATCATTTAAATATTTAAATATCATTTACCTTATTATTGCGCTAATGAATTTTCAATAATTCCACTTCCAATACACCAATTACCATCCCATACAACGACGTTCTAATTACAATGTACGGTATAAATGATCAATTCAATTTCTACAATAAGAAGAATTTTTTTGAGTCAGTTCTTACCTGACCAGGTGCAATTGCACTTTTAGGCGTATTAAATTTCATTGTATACCTTTCATCAGATCTGAATGTATTTATATGATTAAAAATATACAATTAATTTTATATGAGTTTCCTTATATAAGAACACCTTCCTTTTCGTTACTATGAAAAATCATAATTTAACAGCACAGCATATTGGCGAAATCTTATCTGAGCAAGCAAGTTGACACCTAAAATATATTTTATAATTTTTAATATGCATACTCAGCTCATTAATTCCTTTGTGAGGTTCATGCCAATTCCATATCCTATCTTTTTGCTACAAGTTTTGAAGAAAATAATAATAGATTTGCCTTTTTAAATGAAGTATTTATAATAAGAATTTGATAAATAAAATTTATTTATATAGATACAAATGATAATACCCACGATCCGTGAACAACAATTAAAGAATTATTCTTGATATCCATTTTCAAAACAAACCATCTATTATTATTATTAGAATATTATAAAAGAATTATTAAATATCACAAAAAAATAACTACGAAAAATAAAGTAAAAAATAAATACATGCTGATCTGCCCCATGATGTATTCTTGCACATTGTCCAATCGTATAGGAAAACAAACCACGAAATTAATTAAAACAAACATTAAACACAAAAGCTAAAAAATTTCCTAATACCATATTTAATAATATCATGTGATTACCAATAACGGTTCCATCCAATGTTCTAATATCTCCAGGTTTTTGATACGACATACTGTTCCAAAAATAAAGAAACTATCCTTTTATTTCCCACGAACAAATATCCATGCTTCCTCTTTATTACAAGTTATCAATTCGCCTCTCGTGAAATCAACTTAACTTGCTGTTTATGTAAATTTCCGACTGGAAATAGTACCTATGGAAAAAATAAGGAACCTTTTAAATTGTGTATATCATGAATACAAAAAAATGATCTAATGCAAATTCACCCTTTGAGTTTTTCTTCAGCGACTGTCGATAAGAAATAACTCTGATCCTAAGCAATGTCGCTTCTAAAATAACAATTAAATCATCTCTAAATATTATAAAATGAATATCTAGACAATAAAAACGGACCTCGCATTAATTTATCTTGTCCAGAATCTTTATGTTCAATTTGAACGTAATGTCCTATATAATTTACATAAGTAATTAGCAAATGCTTAATTTAAATGAAAATTATATTATTATACCTGAAGCAATCCAAGTAATCTCATTATCTTTGCCATTAAAAGATTCTAAACATTTATTTAAAAACCATCCAAATTTGATTTCGAGATTACATATAACATCGGGATTTGGTGCGATTCCATTTTCATAATCCTGGATCATCTTCGCTTGCGACCAATATTCTTTAGTAAAATCAAACTAAAATAATTATGAGAAACTACTCTATAACAATTTGATCATAACTTATTCATGATTAATTTACCTGTTTGCAAGGAATATCCAATTGTTTACAAACTGTTTGGACATCTTTCCAATCGTGCAAATTCCATTTTCTTCGGTTGTGTCCCAGTTACGCATGTAAACTCCTTCGTCTGCATATCCCTATTGTTATTTTTTATTTTTCTTTAAAAAAAAAATATTTCTTTCACAAAAAAATAATAATTTTCATACCTGCCTTTTTAAAAGATGTGCTGAAACGCTCGAATCGACCCTCCTAACAAGGCTACAATGACTTTAAATAAATTTATTTTAAACAAATAAAAAATAAAAAAATTTTATAAAAAAAATGTATATAAATACCCTTATCACCCCGGAGTTGGAGTGACTTGCGTAACGATGCGATGAAAAAGTTTTGATGATGATGATATGTATGCCAAAGCGGAAAATCATATTTTTTTTCTTTTAAAAATTTAATTCTGATCATCATTTTTTTTATTTTACACCATTTTAATAATAAAAATTTTCTTTCCATTTTACATTTGTCGCTCCTACCCAAATTATCTATTACGTCACGTGACTTTTCCAAAGAGAAAAAAAATTATTCAAATAAATATACCTTTTAAAAGCAATAAAATAATGTGCAAACTTACAGAATATTTTATCTGTGTAACGAAAAGTAAATGGAGTCATTACTTTAAAAAAAAAAAGTGATTTTTTTAAGTTGGATATCATTTTACACTCATAAAAAATATTAAAATTATAGTAAGAATACAATACAATTTAACATTTTAATGGGTATTTTCTATATTACTAACAATAGCAACTTTATACGGTTAATTAAACGGTTAAGACGTTTATCTTGTTAATCGGATAAAATTTTTTTAATTAAAATAATTAATACAACTCCGGCCGAAATTTAATTTTAGGGTAGATTTAAGAATTTTTGTAATCACAAAAAATTTTAATTCTCCTGAAAATTACATTTTGGCCAGAGTTAAGATTAAATATTTTAACCGGTTAAAAAAAATCTTTAACCGGTTAGCAACAGTGATGGCAAATTACAAGGCCATTTACTTTTTTTTTCAAATGACCTTGGTCATTTTGACTTGAAATGTATAATAAAAGTTGAGGTCATTTGAGGTCATTTCAAGGTCATTTGACTTGAACGAACGTGATTAACTTAAAAAAATCGAATGCCGTCACATGATCGACATCAATTTCAATAATTTCAAATAATTTCGAAAACGCCTATAAATAATTTGATTTTTTTTATTATTTTCTGTTTATAATTTAATGTATTTTTTTTGTTAGTTTCTACTTTTCTTCACTTGATTTTTTTTTACCGGTTTAATTTGTAAATTGTCACTCATAAACTTTAGGTAGAGTTGGAATCTTTGTGATTTTTTTATTATTCTTTTAATTTGGTCATAAATAAATAAGGCTTTCTTTTTCATGAAAATTTAAATAAATAAAATAATGTGAAATGAAAATTTGGTTATTTAAAAAAGAATCAGGTATAAAAAAAAAATTACTGAGTAATTTTAGATATATAATTTCAATTTATGCTTAAAGTTGAAATTCGACATTTTTCATTATTTTGTTTTTAAAAAAATGATTAAATTAAAATATAATTGATACTTACTTATTTAAGCGAAATATGCTGAAGCGCTTACTACAGAAAATCACATCAATTAATAATTTAAATATGTAATAATAAACCATTAGTCTCATGTGTCTCATGTGAATATGAAAATATGAAATTAGATATCAATCGAATATTTGAACACTATCTATTTTTTCTAGATTATTTTCAGGATATTTCCTGCTGACAAAACAGATTTAGTTTTGACTAATTATTCTTTGAATTTAGGATAAGTGAGAAAACTTAAGACATTTTTTAATTATATTTTATTTTATTTTTTTTTTTTTAGCAAATAAAATCAAATCGTAAAGTACGTTTAATTTTTTAATTTTAATTTTTTATTGTTGAATGTTCAACAAAGTTACATTGTGGCTGAAAGATCTGGTAGACATATCAAATTACCATATTAAGGTGCGGAAGAAATATTATCGAGATATATTTTTTTGTATTATAAAAACCTAATAAAAAATCATGCCTGTGCTATATGGCGCAGAACGTAAAATCGAATTAGCTAAAAATTGCTTTCCTAATAATAACGAAAATAAGGAAATAATTGAATAGTGGAATGAAGAAGATTTTTAAGTTTTAACCGTATATAATGCGTAATTAATTTCACAGTGACTAATTTGAGCTATTAATGGTTGATTGGATTGGTTGGCTGAGTTAATTATGTCCTTCTTGATAATCTTGATAATGGGCTAATAAACTTACTAATATCGCTAATATAAGGGTATTAATGTAATTTTTCTTGAAATCAAAAAATTAATTCGTTTTAAAAATAAATCCAAAAGAGATTATCTTATTTACAAGTATATCATATTAGAAAATTTTTTCAATAAATAGCATTGGCAATTCCAATATACATCTGCTGTGTGAAATTGGTCATTATACAACATTGTCTTAGGAAAGAAGGATAATTCTTTATTACCTCAGAAGAAAAGATTGTTAAAAAAACATTTGACTAAAACTATTTCATCTGAGCAATAAAAGGAATAGGCTAAATTAACAATTCAATTCGTTAACACAAATCATCAAGCATCAAGCATCAGAATCAATATCATCGAAAGTAATTAAATACCTTTGCATTTTGTAGTAGCATATCATATTCTTTAAAATTATTATGCGATAAATAATTTAATTTAGGTATTGAGTTCAATTAAAACTTAATTAACGAGTAACCAAATTATGCCAATGCTTTACTTAACACAAGTATCTATTTGATCGTCCTCCCAACTTTATTGTACTTAAATAGCATAACTTGGAAAAAAAAATTACATAGCGAACTATTTGATGTTCAACAAAACAACTTTGTCATGTACCTTTTCAGTTGCGTTTGTCATTTTCTTAAAAATATATATATTTTTTGAATAAACAATTGTATAAAAAAGAAAATTACAAAAAAAAAAAAAAATTAAAACATACATTAATCCTTTGTTTACTCAAAATTGCGAATTAAAAAATTTAAGCTTTTCTCCAAATTTGTAAATTGATTGAATCTTTTGAACGAAACCTTGTTTCATGTGATTTAACATGAAAGTAATCAATCTATATAAGTCAAATCAACAGAGAAATTGCCAAAGTTTTCTGATCTGAATACTTCAAAATCATTGAATGTAAATGTCATGCTACATCATCGCACTGTAAGAATGGAGCAGGTCATTAAGTTGCGTGGGGACGAAGCCCCTACTATTCGCAATTTCTAGTTAAATCAATACAATAATAACCCCGATTCATCCCTAATTCAACAATAATAGCCGATAAATTAAATATTCCTGCTATCACTATTAATACAATAATCAATACTACTTTAATTACAGTTCAACTCCGATTTTTTAACAGAAATATTAATCAATCCTATTTAAACCCTAAATTATTTTAGATTTTAAATTAATTTATTTATATAAACATAAAATATTAATCCAATGCTTAATGGGAAATGAAGTCCCCCGCATATCGCAACTTCTAGTTGACATATTACAATCTATCCGAATTAGAACAATTTAAATATTTTTATTTAAATTAATAAATTTATATGTACATTAATACTGCGTTATGATAGTAATGATATGATATATTAGAGTTCTAATGAAATTTATTTTAGAAATGCGATATCATACAACTCATTTAGGAAGGAATTAATTGAAATATAGTTTCGTTCAACAATCGAACAATTCATATCTAACTCTTTTGTTATATATAAATTTATTCAAACAAAAGCCTTATTGGTATTAAAAGATAAATTTCCTGCACAAAACGAAACTTTGGAATTAAATTCGTGCAAAAATATTGCTATTTTAAATTCTAATACCATTTATGATCTCGTTTTATCAAGCAATTACTACACTACGACATCTAACGGAATTGGTTTTTCAATATTTACTTTTGCGAAAAGAATTTACATTTTGAAACGTGTATAAATCAACAATCTTCATTTCGCACCGATGTCTATTAAAAAAATTTCTTTCTTCCATAACATTAAAATAATATCAATTAAAAAATCATGTCTGAAGTTCGTCAAAATATTTTAAGTACCTTCTGTAGAAGACCAACTGCAGGGAATTTGGGAAGACAAGTTCGAGTCCGTTCTAACTTTTTTGAAGTCCTTGCGTTACCCACTCAAAATATCGTCCACTACGATGTCACCATTACCCCCGATGTGCCACCTGCGCTCAATAGAAAAATATTTCAAGAGTTCGAAATCATTCATCGTGAAGGAAAATTAAATGGAATTAGATCAGTTTTTGATGGTTCGATTTTTAATAACGAAAAATAATTATAATGTTATAAATATTGCGACTTATTAATCATTTCATTTCTTATTGTTCTAGGACGAAAGAATATTTTCGCTCCTCAGAACTTCCCATTTGGGGATGCGGCCACGTTTGACGTGAGTAATAAACTTAACGAAGTTATTTATTTAGGTGATTGATTATCTTTTAGTTTCAATAATAAAGATTATAAATTTTAGATTATTCTTCCCGAAAATGAAATGGTTTCTATCAAGCGTACTCCAAAGATTTTCAAGTTCAAAATTAAGAAAACTGGAGAAATTTATATGGAAGAACTTCATCGATTTCTTCAAGGAAGAAATTCCATGACACCTAACTGCTTAACGGGTAAATTAATATTATTAGTTCCGGATTATTATTATTTTTTTTATTATTTTTATTGTTAGTTAATTATATTTTTAAAATTACAAAATTAGCGATAATGGCACTTGATGTTTTAATTCGCCATCTTCCCTCTATGCAACATGTTACGGTCGGACGTTCCTTTTTCACCAAAACTGGATCTCAACCTC